TGGGTAAAATAAAAATTTGTTTAATAAATTTTTCTTTTTTTTTTGAATTTGATTATATTCTAGTTTGAATTTGGATGCTTGGATAAATGATCCTCCATCAGATAGTGAAGATGAATCAATAACAACAAGTTCACATTATGATAATAAAGATTTATTTTATGGTGATAATGGAGAAAATTATAATTCATATTCTAGTGAAACATTAAGTTATCAAAAATCGAAAAAATATATTGAACCAACTCCTGAAGAATTAGAAAAACAACGAGAATCAAGAAAACAAAGTGAACAAATGAATCCATTCTATTTAAAAGATTCTAAAAAACCAAAATTAACACAACAGGTATAAGTTATTGACACAAATAAGCTTTTAGTGTTAGTGATTTATTGTGAATATTTCAAATCTTTTGATTAGTTTCTATGTTGATATAAGGAGTACTACGGCTAGAACCCATCGAGTTCAATACTTTGGATCTGAACCAACCCGACGGGTTCTAACTATGGCATTTATTTTAAAAACTACCATTAAAAAAAAGTGCAGTATCCCGACAGCAATAAGCTACGGACTTGAACTGTCTTCAGAATATTCTTAGCTCATTTGAATGCCAATAGTCTAGTTCAATTCTTAAATTTATCTTTAATATTATAGACTGAAACAAATTCGAATACTATAAATGGTAATGATCGTATTGAATCAACATTATCACAAAGAACAAATGCTACTAGTTCACAATTAACATTATCTAATCAATTATATCGTCAAACAAAAATTGATGAAGAAAATCGACGTTTAAAGAAAAAATCAAAAATTGATAGTGAATCATCAAAAAAAGGAAAAAAATCATCGAAAAAATCCGATACAACAATAATTGATGATAATGATGATGATATTTATCCAACTATTAAAGTAACACGTGGTGGTGAATTACCAGAAGATGCTACACAAAGTGGAAATGAAGATAATGATCATGATGAAACTTTTGGAAAAAATAAAAAATATGATCCACATCGAGCACTTAATATTGACTTAAATGAAAAATCTATTCAATCGATTCCTACATCACAACCACCACCACCATTGACATCTCAATTAAAAGAACCAGTTTCTAAACAAGTTGAAACACCTTCTGTATTAACTGAAAAACCAAAAAAATCTAAGAAAAAGAAAATAATTGAAAAACAAGAACAATCATTAACATCGAAATCTAAACACAAACGAGAACGTAGTGATTATAAAGAATTATTATCACCAGTTGATGAAGAAGAAAATCGTCCAACTTCTACACCTCCACCTTCTGCTACTGCAGAAAAACCAAAGAAAAAGAAAACTAAAGAAAAAAAACCATCATCATCAGAAACAACAGTAGATACAAATACTTCTGCGGCACTCCTATTGGACATTATGAGTGATGATATTTCTCCAACAAATCAATCTCAGCAACAATACAATGAACAAGATGATTATAAACTAGCTGCTCAGTCTGACAATTTGACAATTGTAAGTTCAATAGTCATCCTAGTTTTAACAATCGATGAGAAAATTTCGCTAACCGATAAAATGCTTTTGACATGAGTCTTATCTCATTAGGTGATAGACTCTATTGATATCTCAGGATAGAAGATATTTGAAAGTCTGACACTTGCATAATGAATTAATCCTATCGAGAACTTGTTTTTGAAGATGATCTGAAGAGAAATTCACTAAGATGACAATCATCCAAGCAAAAAGTTCTACTTTTGTAGTTTCGACATTTTTTTTTCTTCGTATATATTTAAACAATCTGTTATAAATTTATTTTTAGGAATATTCAATTAATCCAAATCCATCAATAGCTCAACTTGATGTAACATTTCTTTTAAAAAATCGAACATCATTTATTATTGATCATATTAATATTCATGTTATTGATAGTATGAGTTCAAAATTATTAAATACAACAAGTACAAATTTAATATCATTTCCATCTATAAGTCTTTTTCCTCATTCACAAAATTATATTCATATTTATTTTTTAATAAATGCTATATCATTTTCTCAAAACTTAAAAACAACATTAACTTATTCTATAAATGTATGTTGAACAAATTAAAAAAAAAATACTTATTATCTTCATTTTTCACAAATATATTTAGAAATCAAATACAATTGAAACAGATAGAATTGAATTTAAACTTAATCTACCTTGTTCACAATATTTACGACGAAAGACTATCGATTCGTAAGCATAGATTTATTTTTTGTATTAGGTTATTAACATGAATATATATATTTTTTTTTAAAGTATGGTATTCGCTGATTTGATGAGTTCCGGTACGTTGACATGTCAATCACAACTTCGTATTCCATCATCTAATCAAGATTTTCTATCAATAATTAATAGAATTTGTCAATCTTATCGATTAACTGGTTAGAAAATAAATTGAAATTGTTTTTTATATTTAAATTTTTAATTTAGTTGTTGAAAAAATTAATTCAGCTGCATCTTTATATGCTGAAACAATTCTTGGACAACCAATAGCTCTTTTATTTAAATCAATAGTATGTCTATTTTAAGATTTTTATTAAAAATCAAACTAAAAAAAAATTTTATTTATTTATTTAGAATTCTCAAAATGATATTTTAATTGATGGTAAATCAACAGAAATACATTATCTTTCTAATCTCATGGAAGAAATAAAAACATCATTAAAATAATTTGTTTTACTTTATTTCATTTATTTATTTTTATTTTTATTTTTATTCCATAGACAATATCTATATAAAGCGAAAAGAAAAATAATAACTGATAAACAGTGATCTTGTTTTGTTTTTGCATCTGTTATCTTTATTTACAAAAAAAAAAAAAAAAAAAAAAAGAAAAGAAAGAAAGAATATCTCTTATGTATCAGATAATAAATATATTTGATCTTCTGACACATAGAAAAATATGTTCTTTGTTTTTTGTTTTGTTCTGAACGATTATAGTCAATTCTCATATGTATGCATATTTTCTATTTTTTATTTTTTTATTTGCTATAATTCGAACATTATATATATATATTGATAAAAAGAGAAAAATTAATGATAAACTATTTTATTATTTTCGATTGGTTTCAAATGATTAGAAGGAAGAAATTTTTCTTTTTCATGAAGCTTATTAAATTTTCAAGTGAAATGAATACCGATGAGTGGGATCAATCGCTTATTATCCCGATGTTGACTAGCAAAAGCTTTTTAATTCTGATTTCACACTTAATAATACATGTACTAGCGAAGCATGCAATATAATATTCTAGTAGTGTCAACAAGCTCGAGATATCTTGGACGATCCCCGTCACTTCTAATATTCTTTCTCTTCAAGGTTCATTACTTTTTTTTAAACTCACTGATACTTTGTCTCATCTAAACTTTGTATGGAAAAAAAAGCGTCTTATAAATATTGTTTACGGCTGTAAATTCAACAATAGTAATTCCGGCACGTGGATTTGAATATTAGCATTAGTGACAGATGATATAAGATGAATGCTCTGATTTTTTCTTTGATTTCTAACAAACTTGTGGCTCGTATATCTCTGTAAAGGAGCGGTCGCGAGATCTGATATTTTTACCATAAATACAGCTTATCAAGTTCTACAAGATAAAAGTACATTCGCTCAATTTCGAGATAGTTGTGTTTTTTCTGGGAGAGATCCTATGGAATAGCCCAAAAAGAAAAGTCCTGTAGGAATACAGAAATATTCGCTGGTGGAGTATTTATATTTTGCTCTTCCTATCACTACTGATATACGTGACATTTTATAAGGTACGCAAAGTCCCACATATTCATAGGGAACTTTAGATAAAGTGGACATTTTTTGGACCTTTGACATTGCTGCTGAAGAGTTGACTGTGTTAAAGTTTACAAACCAATGCTACCAAACAGACATATTGAATCATCATACATAAAATAAACAAGTCCTTAAATCTATTCTATCTAATTCATATAAAACAATATATTAATGATTATGAATAGATAATTGATTCATTTTATTTTTATTTATTAAACTATTATTTCAAACATATGAAATAAACAAACTAATCTCTGTTGACATATATCATATATACAAAATGTTAGATCTAAACATTTATTGTAGAAAAAAAAGTTCCAGAATCTAATAAGCATTTCTAATTGATACCTCTTGAACAATATGATACGATTACATAAGATACTATTAATATGTTATCATCATTCATTTTATTCATCTAGTAAAGAACAAGTGCAGGATTCCAGCAGAGGAAAATAAAGATTGAAATATTTTGAAATCTTCCTTCTTGTTATTGTTGGATCATTTAGTGTTGGACTAATAATTAATTCTTTCACTTTACTGCAATTAAGCCGTGTTGTAGTTTTTCTAAAATTTCTTGTCACGATTGTTAAACATTCATAATTGACTCTTAATTTGGTTAGAGAAGGTAGATGTGTTTTTGTCTCGTTGAGAAATTGGTCGATATAATGAATATAAGCAGTATCCAGCCGAAACGAAATAAGATAAGGATATGTAACAATTGAATACAATTGTTTATAATTCGAGTTCAATTTGTCTAATTTTGATGATTGTGATTGATAATTAATAACCCATAAATGCTTAAGAAAAGGAAAAGACCAAGCAATTCGATGAAAAAATTCATGTTTAAATGAAACTACATCACGCACCGTCAACTTTCTAACATGATTAAAAATAATACTTGGAAATGTATTACCAATATATTGAAGGTAATCAAACACAAATGGTAATGAAAAGACATGACATATGGCAATACCAAATTGGTAATTTACAATACAATTTACTTGTTGATGTTTTAAGTTAATAAAAAAACGTTGAATATCATCTTTTGATACATAATAAACTGAATGATCCATATGAATATTGATAGAAAAACAAAAGTTAAATGTATGAAGTCGTGGCATATGTATAAGAATTTCATTAGAAATATGATTACCATCGATTATTCTCGTTCGATTTTTAATAGTTATATACAATGTTAATTCTTCAAGATTTGACATCGACGAAAAAGAGGTAAAATTTCAGTATTATATATATCACTTAAGCAATAATATGTTATTAAAGAAAAATATTTCAAATTAGGTAGATCATCCTAGAATATATAAAACAATATATTATCATCAATCAAAAAAAAATAAGAAAAAGTTCAGATGTATAATAATTCAAGACTGAAACATAGCTCTATTTCTATTTAATTCATTTTTAAATATGTATTCTTGTATATCATATAAATATCTTTTTCTAAAATAATGACATAAGATAAATAGATTTTATTTCTAAACTTGTAAGATATAAGAAATAATAGATACTGGAAGAATTCAAAAAACTTCAGATCAAGTTTAATATAATATCTATATTAAATAAAATTATTTGTCCTACAGAAAACGAGTCATATCATTAGATATCATATGACTATTTCCATTATGTGAAATAATCAGCATTAAATCAAACAAATATTATTTATATTAAAATCTTACTTTAACAACTCATCAATTCATAACAAATGAAAGTTATTTCAATATTGTTTTTCTATATTTTTGATAATCTTTATCTATTCTGATCTATTATTCAAGTATATTTTGCTTTTGTGTTTTTCTTATGGTCTTTGACACTAATATTCTTTAATATTCATGACTATTATAGATTTTCTATTTCTCGTATGATAAAGAAAATAATTAAAAGAACTAAAGGAAATCAAAACAACCAAGATTATTTATAGCTGTGAAGGAAAAGTTAAACGAAGCTGTTTTATCACTTCTTGACTACTCAAAGAATCTCTCTATATATATAACGTTCAGTGTCTATGTTAGGTCAAAGGTTAATAAGGCTATAAGAGGTAAGCGTATTCGAAGGTAATGCAAAAAGGGATTAAGGCAATAAGGGATAGGACTAGAGGGAGATAAGTTTATAAGGAAGTAAGGTTATGAGGGTAAAACTATAGGAGAGTAAGGCAATAAGAGCTGCATGGAATATAAGACTGTAAGGCCACAGGGTCTACAACGATATTAGCAATATAAGGCTATAAGACCGTACGCCTATCGATATACGTCATATCCAATGCCTGTTACCGAGAGAAATATTAAAGGTTTGAATTGATACGTTAAAGGAAAAGAACTGCCCTGCAGTATGCCCGGACTCTCGTAGTTTTAATTATAATTGATTGAAATAAATATTAATTTATTAATAAAAAAACTATCTGTAATAATATAAAAACAATTATTGCCTTGAACAATAGAATTTTTTTTAATTGTAAAAATAATTAAATAAAATGTAAACTTACGATATTATAAACATTTGATGAATGATATTTAATATTATTAATAAGAACAATTAAGGTCATTAATTGTTTAAAACGACCATCAAGTAAAGCAAGACAATCATCAAAACTCATCACATGAATAGATAATTTGTTAAGAGTTGAAGAGAAGAATGTTGTTGAAGGTAAATTATGAAGTATCAAAGGTGGAAAAAATGAGGAAATGATCTAATAAAAAATAAATGTTTCAGATTTTTGAAGGATTTCAATATTTATTTTCATACATATCTGTTGTATAATTTTTTATTGATATTTCATTAAAATCTTTTTCGAATACAAGAATAAGATCTGTAATTTGTCGTTGAAAAATATGTCGTAATGGTGTTTCAACTAAATAAATAATTATTGTCTAGTCTATCTACACAATAATTTTTTTATCTAAAACTTTACTCAAATAAATATGTAAGTTATTTACCTGTAAAATAATGTAAAAGAATTTTATCGTTAAAATTAAATAGCTTAAGCTCAGTTAAATTAGGATAATCAGCTGCAAGAAGAATACGTTCCATAGATTGTGAATCAAGAATAAGAGATTTAACATTTTGATGAATTCTTGGCAAAATATTCGTGCAAAATCGATCAATTATTGAATTATCAAGCGAGAAAATATCATTGTTTAATGTCTTTTATACAAAATTGAGAGTATTAGTAAATGTATTAGCTTGTACTATAATATCAAGTTTTTGATTATCAACATCTAACAATGAATATAGAACATAAATATTATCCAGCTTTTTTAAAATGATAAATAATATTTCATTTGGTAAATCAAGAAGACCAACATTAGATTGATTCATATTGAGTTTAGCTAACGCTTTTTCTATTATTATGCATATATATATATATGTTCATTGTTTGTTTGCGCCCGCTACTATCATTGAATAAAATAAATAGCTAACCTCAAGGAAAAAAATACAGCTTAAATAAATAATCCAGTTGATTTTCGGACGTATTTTTTTTGTTTCGTCTATCTTTGATATTATTTTCATCGATTGTCACCTTTTTATTCATAGAAAAATGAAAAAGTCACACTATAAGAAAAAAAACGTACGATATCTTGGAGCAAGATTCGAGTATTCCGTAACTGTATTCGCCTGTAAGTTATACCAACCTATAAAAAGGCTATATCAAGATAGATCTCGACAAGTTCTATCGATTCCACTATTTACTTTTTCTCCAACGCCCCTCCTTCATGGAAAAAAAACCCGAAGTACTGACAAAAAATAAGCAAAACAACAAGTATTTTCCGTAAAGCGCATCGCGATTTGGGGTGTGGGTGTGGGTCTCAGTAAATGGAAGATTAACACGAACACACCCACACTCTAAAATATTTTTTCTATGATGGTTTTGGTCAAAGCATAGCAAGATTGGAAAAAGAATGAAAAGTTTTTATTTCAATATAAAGCGAGCACAAATAGAAAGTTGTCGAGCAAATAGAGAGATAAAAATTGAAAAATGACATTTCGACTTGATTGAATTGATTTATTTCTAGGTGTCCTTTAATCTTTCGATGAGTTTACCTAATCGATTTTTACTATCAGCTGTGTCCATCTCTTCGAAATGAGCATGGGTAAGTTCCATCAGATGGTCTAGTGTTTCTTTCCGTACATCATCAAGTATGATAGGATTTTCAAGCCAGATTTGCCATCGGTGATATTTGTCACTATCTAACATATTACTCAATTGATAATCAATATTATTTTGTGGTCCATCGAAAATAACTTTTAAAACATTACTGTTATTAATTGTCCAAAATAAAAGATTTCGCTCAGCATTTGGATTCAATGGATCGGGTACATAATCGCCAGTACCTAAAGATAGAACAAAAATATCATTACGATCTATATTTTTTGGGCATGTTGAATATGCAATCATGGTTGGATTATTTGCTTGAACTCCACCATCAACAAAAATAGAATTGTTTAGATTGTAAGGTGGGAAATAGGTAGGTGCTGCTGTAGTACACATAAGCATATCAGTAAAGGTGTAATCTTTGCCAGGATCAATTAAACTTTCACTTCGTCGAAATAATTCTGTAGTACTACTACCCGAGTTAACAGTTGTTATAATAAGTTCAGTAAGTGCTTGAGATAAACGAGTATTTCCAAAATATTCATCAAATAGCGCCTTTTTTTCTTCAGCACGATATATAGGCCAAAATCCAAAAAGACTTGGAAGTTTTGATGCACGAGTAAAGACCTTCTCCGAATGACATGTATACAATTCAACAATATTTGCAGCTTTATAACGAGGTTGTCTGGTACCAAATCTAGTTGGTAATGATAGACTAGCAGCTACGATCGCTCCTGTTGATGTTCCAGCCATCATGTGAAACATTGAGCTGCTATTCATTCCTGTTCTTCGTTCCAATTCACTCATCCACATGGCCGGTATTAAACCTCTTATACCACCACCATCTATAGAAAGAATATTGTATTGTGAAGATCTGGGTTCAGCATGAATTAATGTCATATTTTTGTAAATTTGCATTCGTTTTGCAACTGTTTCTTTTTTTAATCTCAATATCAAATCTAATTCATGTTTTGCTTCAATATAATTCGTTTTTAATTTGAGTGCATTTTCCATGGCATTTTTAGCTTCATCATAATTTTGTAATTTACGTTTTAAAACACCTAGTAGGAACCATCTTTCTGGTGAATCACGAAAATATGCTTTTCTTTCAGTATTTTCTATCAAGAATTTCTCAGCTAGTGTATATTTACTTAACTTTATTAGGCAAGTAACATGGCCTAGCATTGCCGGTAGATGATTTCTATTGATAGCCAATGCATCATTATAAAATTTCAGTGCTCGAATCCATATTTTTAATGATTCTAAATGATGATTTTTATCAATTTTTTCAGCTTCATGTCGATAATAATCCGCAATTTGATTTAGTAAATCAACTTTGATTTTTGGATCATTCGCAAGTTCTAACTGATTGTAAATATAATTCAACGAAACTTTCGAAGCCACAAATATACCATTTATTGTTCTAATATTGTTTCGATCGCTCTTTGTATCTGTTAGAACATAAATAGAAGTTTTTGCCGCTCCATTAGAAAAATCTAATACTTTCTTATCAGGAACAAATATAAGTTTATGTTCACGGTGAAATTCGATAATGCACGCTATAAATATTAAATTATACATTACAGATAAAATTGGTAAATATTGAAAAGTTAATGAATATTTTTCTTTCAAGAACGATGTTTTCCATGCTTTGATGTCAGCAAGATGTTCTCGTCTTATTATTTCTGTTATGAAAGATTTCAGTGGTTCAACATTTTTATAATAGTTATTACGGACATCTCTAACGAATTTTGTTTTATCCAATCGTAACATTCCATCTAAAACTTGATCCAAAAGTGCGAATTCGTCGATGTCATCATTATCATCATCAAATAATATGGCTGGTTCACAATGTGAAACTTTCCCATCGTCAGTTAAAACTTTGTCGATGATTTTTATATAATTATTAGATTCAAGTTGAGGAATTATCTGCTTAAAAAAAATGACTTCATTATTAATCGACAATGTGTCATTATTGAAGCCGAATGCAGCCAAAATGTCTATTAATGCTTGAAGACGAATTCCGGATATAACATACATTTTTTCTTCTATTAGGTCTTTTGCTAATTCTTCTTTGATACCTTTTATCATATTAGCACTCTCTTGTAGATTTTCGATGCCTCCAGATATTAATTTTGCAATGGCATAATTAATTTTGGCAACTAATTTCACTTCTTTCAGACGAACAACAGCAGAAATTATTGATTTCTCTACTGTGTATGTGTTGGATACGGAAAAAGCATTGTTCAATAAGCTTTTCTCAACTTGTCCACATTGATCTGGTTTTACACATAAGGTTGTCGATGTAATTTTACTGTCAAAATTGTTTGCTGCTTCTATCAATTGTGTATTTTTCAAGATTTCATCAAATACTAATGTTGCAAAATGTGTAAAATCAGAATATTTTGGTAATTCTAAGCATATATTGGTTGTTAAATTATTTTTAGGTTTTAATTGAGGTGCACTTAGTAACACTTCACCAATCAATACTAAAAAATTGGCAATACCTTCAGATGAAAATTCATAGTATAAAAGTTCTTTAATAATTTGCCTCGGTCGAATGTCAAGCGAAATCTTATGATTATCATCCGATCGATACTCTTTAATTCCAATTAATATTTTCGTTTCGGCATAGAAAACTGTTAAGGAATGAAGAAAGGCCACGTATTGTCCTTTAATGTAATGATCTAATGCATCTTTCATAATTTTGTTTATACGTTCTCGAATTTTTGACTTTTCTGTATTCGTTTGATTTTCGTGATGAAATTCATGCTTCAATAAAACGTCGCCAACTAGATACGAAATACCAATGCCAAAACTGCTAGAAATATTAGTCACTCTGGTGCTTGCTTCTATTTCTGATATGTCTGAATGTGAATATTCATTGAATATAATAAATCGTAATTCTGATAAAAGAGCATTTTGAAATTGTTGTACTGTAATAGAACCTTTTCTATAATCCATCACAGCTTGATGTAACATGGATTTATTTGCTGAAATATTGAGCGAAGCTGCAGACAATACAGTTCGTATACAACAGATTTCTTGTCGAAGATTTTCTATTTTCTCGAATTTTTCTTGAGTGAAACAAGTTTTATCGCTTGTTACTAACAAAAAAATACCAATGATGGCGTAAATTTGAGCTTCTAATCTGCAACAATCTCCGGCTTGGTATAGAGAACGTGCCATACATATTTCCAATTCAACACTTTTCTTTTCATCAGCTATGGCTTTGAGTTCTCTTGCTGCAGCCCTGTAATGTTTATATGCAAGAATTGCATAATGATGTTGATTATATTCTAATTCTTTCTTGTTTAAACTCATGATTATATCTCGTTTTAATTGTTTCACACTCATCCATTCGTGTTTTCTCGCAGATTCATAATCAAAAGAAATATCTTTGTATTCGTTTGCGCTTGTTTTAAGATTCTCAATTAAACTATGAGACTGTGCGTGATAAGCAGTTACTTTTTCCAAAATCTTGCTTCGATCATCGGCTACTA